ATGGTTTCACCTGATCTGGATCTCAAGGCTCTGACCGGCTTTGTGCAAGTGCAGAAGTTCAGGATGTCCATTTGGTCCTTAGTGGCCTCCCTTCACCAAGGGAATTTCTTGATGTCGATAGACATCAAATATGCCTACCTGTACATTCCCATCTGTGCTGGGCACCAGCGCTTCCTCTGTTTCACGGTGGGAGAGGAGCATTATCAGTTTGTGACGCTACCCTTTGGTCTTGCCTTCACTCCTCCAAGGTGTTTGCTCCGGTTCTGGCTTTGCTGAAACAACAGATAATTGCCATGATTGGTTATCTGGACGACCCGCTTCTCTTGATTTTGGAGAAAGTCATGGTGATCACGATCAGCACCTTGCAGGAGTTCAGGTGGATCTTGAATTTCCGGAAATCCACTCTGCTCCCGAGCAGGAAGCTGGTCTATCTGGGACTTGTTATGGACACGGCATTGGCAAGGTGCTTCTTCCACTGGACAAAGTCTGGAAGTGTCAGTCAGCATTTCAGCTGCTGCTTTCCCACAGGTGGTTCTCCCTCCACTGTTGCATATAGGTCCTGGGACTAATGGTATCTGCTTTCCCACAGGTGGTTCTCCCTCCACTGTTGCATATAGGTCCTGGGACTAATGGTATCTGCCTTTCGAGGCGGTTCTGTACACTCAGTTCCATACAAGGATCCTTCAGAAGAAAATCTTGTCCAAGTGGGACAAGCCCCCCAACTCCTTGGACTCCCAGATTCACCTGGATCAAAAGACCAGGATATCGCTACTTTGGTGGTATCGACTTCCTGTCCTTCAGGAGGGAAAATCTTTCTTTTCTTCCACTTGCAATGGACGGTGATTACAGTGGATGCTAGACTGTCTGGCAGGGGAGGAGTGCAGGGAGTGAGCTCGGCCCAGGGTCTCTGGTATTAGTTTTAATGTCCTGGAACTTCAGGCAATCAGGGTATGCCTAGAGCATCTTCAGGGGCACCCTCCCCAGGTCCATTTGGACAATGCCACGGCGGTGGCCTATGTCAACCACCAAGGTGGGACAGGGAGTGTGACAGCATCACTAGAGAACTCCCACATCCTCAAATGGGCGGAGCGTCATACGCCGGCACTCTCTGTTGTGCACATTCCCGGCGAGGACAGTTTGCAGGCATAGTACCTCAGCCGTCAAATGTTGGACCAAGGTAAGTGCTCCCTGCATCCTGGCATGTTTCATCAGATTTGTCTCTGGTGGGGCACTCCAGATATGGATCTCCTAGCATCTCGGTTCAACAGGAAGGTGCCGAGATTCGTGGCCAGGATGAGGGATCCTTTGGCGGATGGAACATTCTCTGCTGAAGTCATGGATCAATATCATCTCATATATGTGTTCCCTCCTCTCAAAACTTTGCCCCGCCTGCTGCGAAGCATAAAGGCCGAAGGCATTCCAGTCATTCTGGTGGCTCCAAATTGGCCCCAACACCCCTGGTATGCTGATGTGGTGCGGCTGGTTGTGGATGCCCCCTGTCATCTGCTGCTCAGGACAGATTTTCTGTCTCAAGGACTGATCTACCACCCTGCTTTACAGTCACTGGCTTTAACAGCTTGCCTATTGAAAGCCAAGTTCTAAAGGACGGGATTGTCTATGTCCGTCATCCCTACCATACTGAAAGCACAAAAGCCTTCTTCCAGGAAGATATACTATTGCTCCTGGAAGGCTCCTATGCCATGATGTGAGACTGTGGGTGTTCATCCCAGATTCCTTCTTGGTGGCTAGGATATTGGCCTTTCTGCAATGGGGCATTGAGAAGAAGTTGGCGTTAAGTACCATCAAGGGCCAGGTTTCTTCTCTGGCCATTTTCATTCAACGTTTTCTAGCCACACACTCCTTGATCCACACTTTCGTTCAAGGAGTTCAGCATGTGGTGCCTCCAGTACACTCCCCATTGCTGCCTTGGGATCTGAATCTGGTTCTTTCTGTTCTTCAACTACCTCCTTTTCAGAATATTAGGGAGATTCCCTTTCTTATGCTGTCCCAGAAGGTAGCCTTATTAATGACTATCACTTCTGCTCACAGTGTGTCAGAATTGGAGGCCTTTTCCTGCAGGTCTCCTTATTTGGTTGTTCACAAGGACAAAGTGGTTTTCCGTTTGTGCCCTTCTTTTCTCCAAAAGGTGGTCTCTGCCTTTCATTTGAATGAGGACATTGTCCTACCTTTCTTATGTCCTAGTCTTTCTCATCCTAAGGAATTTGCTCTGCATGCCCTGGATGTGGTTCGGGCAATTTGGGTGTATCTGTCTGCTACCAAGTCTTTTCGGAGGTTGAATTCCCTTTTTAGTGATCACGGACAGGCTGAGGAAGGGTTTGACGGCATCCTCTGCCACCATTTCTAGATTAGACAGATGGTGGATCAAGCCTATACCATTAAGGGTCGGGTTCCTCCCTTTCCCGTAACGGTGCACTCTACTCGGGCGCTTAGTGCTTCCTGGGCTACCTGGTTGTCTGTGCACACCTTTACTAAGTTTTACAAGGTGGATGTCCCGGCATCTTCGGATGTTTGTGTAGGCTGCAAAGTTTTGCAGGCATCCATTTCAGATTCTGTTCCCTCCCGGGGGGGTTGTGTGTTTCTGGTTGGGCTCTTGTTTTTCTGCTAAGCTCCTGTTCGCCTTGTTTTTTTTCTCCCACCCTTCACTTTGCTGGACACTGCTTTGGGATGTCCCTATGGTTGAGAAAAGAAGATGCTTTGTCCATCAATGAACGAAAGAGGAAATGGGATTATTTTTTTTTTTGCCTAGTTTCCTACTCCTGTAGGTGGCGATATAATTCTATGGTCAAGAATAGAAGATGCTGTGTCCGTCAGTCAACTCGGAGAAAGGGATTTTATGGCGAGTAACAAAAAAATCAATTTTTTTTCCTTGTCCAGTGAGGGACAAAGGAAGTCATTCACCTTTTGGGTATAATTCTGCCAAAAGGAAGATTGTACATTTGGCAACTGCAAAACTGTAAGCCAAGCCAAGACTAAACCTTCATACTACCAAATCTTCTGTTAAGAGACTATGTTATTGTTTTACTTTTTGCTAGGACTTTTATTTAATTTTTTCTTCAGTCGAGACTCTTCTCTACATCACTGCTAGAGCTGGTCTGTACTATTGCAGCTATTTGGCATAGCTGTTTTCAGCCCATTGTGTCTGGACCCCACTGTACTGGTCATTGTGGGGCTAGCCTGGAAGTGACCATCGGGCACTGGGTTACATGTAAGGTGAATTTTAGACCCTGTTTTGGTAACAAGTTAGCCACAGAAAGCTTGGCATTGGCTTAGACCTTGCCCTATCTCTTAAAACTCACTTTGAAAGTGGGCTGGTCAGTCCTGGAACAGGGAGCTACCACATTTTTATAGAAGGCTTATCTCCTTTAATTTCCCTGTTTCACACATATTTTGCTGTGGAAGGGGTTTACACGCTGTGGGACTGAACACTGACTTCATATACTGGGTATGCTGGGTGGAGTGTGTCTTTCCTGACATACAACGTTGAGAAAGTATCTCCCCACTGCTACTCCTGCTTGCAGAAGAGCCATGTGTAACTCAAGTCCTCTCTCCATTTCTGCTGCCCACTTAGAGTGACCTTGGTCATTTATAGCCATCCAACCCTTACCTGCTAGTTGTTCTGGGTGTTTTGGGAGTACCTGCGGCCTAGCTTTTGTACACTGAGCTTAAAGTGTAACTGCACTGCATCTGAGCACCAGAAAGCAAAAAATGCTATTTCTTTCATTGCTAATATTCAGAGCAAACTCACCCATTCCTCCATGTGTCCATGCTTCATTTTGCTGAGAAATCACTTTGAAAAACACTTCCTAGCATTTCTGGCAGTGGCCATCTTGAGGGCAGATGATTAATGTAGCATTTACTTTCTGGAATCCATCTGCCCTTAGGTCAGGCATTGGCTAAGCTGAGAACCCTCCCTTCTCTCCTGAAGACTGTTGGGATGTATGAAATCATTTGCCTAGGCATGGAAACCAGGAAGTAACTGGAGGAATGTATAAAAAGTTTAAAACTAGTAAGTATGATGTACTTTACTATCCATTTACTGGTGCTAGCAGCATAAGGATTAAAAATAGTCCATGTTGGCAGAGAGTGAAGTTCCGCTTTAAATTTGCAACATGCCTGTTTATAGATGCAGAGGAGGAGTACCCACAGATCTAAATCCACTAACAGTTTCTGTGATGTTTCCTGCGTTCCTTCTGAAGGTGCAGACGCCTTCAACCTGGAATTCTGCTAACCTGTTTTCATATAATTTGTCATCAAACTCCTCCTGAGCTTTGCCAGATAGAGCCAAGTCCCCTGCTTTGTTGGCCAGGGTCACACAAGACTTTGGCCTTGTTTACATGGGGCATGTAAATCTATGCACCATGTGAGGGCCATGTACAGGGACTGGACAAAAATATAGAAACACTACATGATTTGCAGGTGTGAAAGTGACATGTTTTGCATTGAAAACGGAAGTGATGTAACATTCTGTTGCTTCCGCTGTGTATTGAGACACCTAGTTTACAGGTGGGAAGTCCCACTTTTGTCATTCACTGTGTGTGTTCTGCTAGTAATAGTCATGTCAGAACTTACTGAGTTTCAAAGAGGGCAAATTGTTGGTGCCCACTTAGCTGGCGCCTCTGTTACTGAAGTTGCCAATTTATTTGCGATGTTGCGAGGTACAGTATCAAAGGTTATGACAGCATATACAGTTTCTGGGATAATGTCATCTGATAAGTGGTCAACTGACCAAACAAGACAAAAGGATTTTGACACGGAATTAGAAAACAACTGCTGCAAAAATGACTGCAGAGCTCAATCTCAGTCTTCCAAAGCCCGTGTCTACATCCATAAACTGTGGACTATCTATCAATGTAATATCGCCTGAATTGAACTTCACACTGTTCCAAACCACCGGACATGTTTACATGTGCCAAACACCATCCCAAGCTTACAAACAGGACTGTCTTGTGCCAATGGTAAAGTAAGGTGGTGGCGCAGTCATGGTTTGGGCGGCCATATCTTGGTATTCTGCAGGCCCCATCATCACCTTGAAAGGTAGAGTCACTGCCAGTGACTATGTACAAATTTTGGCCAACCACGTGCACCCCATGTTTCAAACATTGTTTCCCAAAGACAGTGCCATTTGCCAAGACAATGCTCCAATTCACACAGTTGGTGTTGTCAAATTGCAGTTTGACGAGCATGCAGACGAAGTCTCACACCTTGCCTGGGAACCACAGTTGCTGGACCTCAATATCATAGAGCCACTATGGTCAAATGTTGGAGAACAAGGTTTGGATCCTGTGTGAACTAGAATGATTTTTGCATGAAGAGTGGTATCAGATTCCATTATCCACCGTCCAAGATTTATATTTGTCAATTTGCAGGAGAATTCAGGTTGTCTTGGATGCCAAAGGCAGTCCAACACCATATTGGGTAAGAATTTCATTCTTTTACCTGGTGTTTCCATAAATGTGTCCAACCACTGTATGTCGGCATAAGGATGCAGAGATCATCCTTTGCAGGCAGTCTCATAGCTGTCAAATGGGACACAACTGCATCGACACAGATGCTCCCAATGTGACATCCAGCATGGCTCTGAACTTGTCCTTTGTGGCCCAATTCTGACAATCCCTGGCTGGCACTGACTGCATATGCTTTAATTGTGTTCTTGTGCCTTCCCCTGCAGATTCTATGGCTATTCTACACATAGCCTCATTGGCTTTTGAGCTATCACTGACTATATCTAATTCTGAGTAGCTCCAATCTCTAGCTGATGAGATTATCTGCAGTCTTCAGCTATTACTCCACATGTAAAAGAAATTTAATTGTCATTATTAATATGGTGTGCACCACTGTAAAGATAGAGGATAAGCCTGCTGTGCTCCGTTTTTTCCAGAGCCCCTGAAGCTGCTGAAAACTCTCAATTGCACCAAGTCTTTGAAGCATGGAAATTGGAAGCTCCCTGACATGCCTTTGACACTCCTCAATCACTTCCTAGACTTGTTCCTGTTTGGAAAGGATTTAGTTAAACAGTGGTCCACTAGAGTAGTAGGGAATGTTCCTCCATTCTAGAACCTTAACGATGAGCGGTAGGACCCCTTCTTTAGAACTCCGTTCTCAGTGGTGGGCCTTGCCATTCACCCTATTTTGGCTTTGGCCAAGTAGGTGGTCTTTTCGCTACAGCAGTAGTTATAGCTTGTGGAGACTACGGCTGGAGCTTTACACTTCAGCTGTGATGGCCTGCTGGAAGCTTCTCAGCTGTCTCCTGCATTGGTCTTTTGTCAATACACATGTATGGAACACCCTTTTTAAAGTGTTGGTCTGCGGACCCTGTGTCCAAGAAGCACATGACTCACATGGTCTTCAAGGGACATCATCTCTTTGGACTGACCTTAATGTTATTATAATGGGTATCACTGGAGGCAAGAGCGCTCAGCTGCCTCAGGGTTCGAAGCCTAGGGAAATGTCTGCAAAGTCTCCTCGATGTCTTTACTTTGCTACTGGAGTTTGCACGTCATGACCTCCCAAACTTGGTTGTCTGGCAAAGTATGGGGTAAAAGCCTACTAAATTCTCAGAAAAGCTTTCATCAGCATGAAGATGCGTCCCCATTTTCCGAAGTGGCGGATTGTGTATTAATCCTTGTGGACTTATGTACACTATATTTTTACACCTGCTCTTAGGGGCGTCTGGTGTTTTTTCTTTCCTGCCTCTAAACTCCACTACATGTTAGCCTATGTGCCCATGCACACAAAGTTTTAGAGGCATTTAGTGGCAGGAGAGTTTAGAAGCAGGAAAAAAACCCCCACTGCCAGTGTGTCAAGGAGCAGCAGAGTTTTTGGCAGAAAAAAATGATTGACACTTCTAAACGCATGTAAATGCACGCTAGGAATGCTTAGCACTTAAACATTAATTTATTTCAGTGGCCAGTATAAATTATTTATTCTGGCCAAGTAAATAAATTAATGTTTAGTCGCTTGACACGGCTAAACGTGTTACATACTTTTACAAGTGTCAGGCTTTTTTTTTTTTTGCCAATAGGCTTGTATGAGAGTTAGGAAAATGTCCTGTGTGTATGTGGCCTCAGGTGCTTGGATACAGAGAGTGATTTTTCTAGAAATACAAAATGAACCTTTGTACTTCCGCACCATCTTTTGGCTCCTCACTTTCGACTTTTTTGTGTTACCACACAAATGAACAAACTGACCTCTTCCCTTTTGGGGTCGCCTGGACCAAAGTGCCATTGTCTCAGTTATTTGGGAGTTGCACTACAACCTGGTCATTGTTATCCTTCCCTAAGAGAACATCCTATCTCTTTTGGGGCCTGTAAGTTGAAGAAAATATGCATGGTATCTACCAGATCTACAATTCATTCCCTTCTAACAGGGACTTCCCTTCCTGGTTTCTGTGGTCAGTTAGGACGCACACCTACAGGTCCCAGTTCTTCCAGCGTTCTGACTTTTTAATCTTGCCTCTTCACTCTGAATGTTCACCAGGGTGATTGCCCCAGTATAAGCCCTAGTGCAGCCTTTCTCAACCTTTTCAATGCAGAGGAACCCTTGACATAACTTTCCAGTCTCAGGAAACCCCTGCTAAAAATGACTATATCTACAATTCATGATACATTAGTGTGATAGTCAGAGATAAGAATGCTCCTTACACTTGTGGTCATTGGGAAGATTACCTCATAGATTGCTAAAAAGATCAATGGTGTCAGTGGAACTTACCTGAGAGGCAAAATTTGCTGATTGCTCAAGGAACCCCTAGCAACCTCTGGAGGAACCCTGGTTGAGAAACCCTGCCCTAGTGTGTTTTCTTTGTATTCCCATTGTGTGATGCTTCGACAATCTCTTGTGGAGGAAATATTTAGCACGTACTCTGTTGGACAAAATCTCTCTGATTGTCCAGATGTCTCAATGATTTCATTAGATCCCAAATCTTCAGAACTCTGTGCTGGAATCCTCTCATCTACAGGTTGCTCAGATCAAAATGTTCCTTCCACAGAAATAAAAAAAAGACAAAAAAACTTCTGTCAAGAGATCCCTGCCCTTCATTGCGGAAGTTCTGTACCTCTCAGCTCTTGCATGAGAGTTGTGGGTCTGTGGGTAACTCTCATCAAGATAGACCCTTTTCTAAAGTCTCTCTCCAGACTGTCTCAGCACTACACTCTTCATTCCCACCTTCTGGAAGATTTTATCATTGGGTGTTAGCTTATCGAGTTGGGTAAGATGCATGGAGATCCTGCAGGTGCCTCAGTTTTCTGTTGTTTCTTGTGTTGCCCAGGCCCTCAGCTGGACTGCTTTTGATTGTCCTGCATGTGATTGATTTCCTGTATCCCTCAAGGGACTCAAAAGGATTTTTTGTTGAGTACAAAAATCCTATTTTTGTTTGTTAAGCTTAATGCTGTGTATAGACAGTCATGCCACTAACTTACATTTTGTGGCCTTTAAAGGATAAGTTCACCTTTCGTAACATGTTACACCCCATATTCAGGATGTAACATGTTACGAACAGACTGGTCACCGCTCCCCACTGTGACAGCTAGCAGGGGATCTTCTCCTCCCTGCTAGCTGTCACAATTTAAAAAAAAAACATGGCCTTGCAGGGCTCCTCCTGTCAGGCCACGTCATTCATTCACAATGTTTTGTGAATGAATGAACTATAAGTACCGACAGCCTTAGCGGCTTTCAGCTTGCAGTTCTCAATGATCTACCACGGCACTGTGGAGTGCTAGTTAATTGATTCTTCCTTTCACTATATCTGCTTGCCCGTACATCCCGTATGGGCAAGCAGATATACTTACAGGTCTGCAGGAGACTTGCATGGCACCAGCAGTCTGCTGATCACTGGGGCAATGCTTTAGTGGCTCCAGATCCCCCAAAAAATAATAAATGCACGTTTTTTTAAACCTATCGTTTAAAGCGGTAGTAAACACCCATCAATGTGACTTGTACCTGCAGGTAAGCCTATAATAAAGGTACAAGGTATAGTTCCTTAACATGCACCATTTGGAGATATTCAATATTTCTGCAGCTGGCGACATCACCAGCGTATGCGCGCTACACTCAGAGCTCTGTGCCTTGGCTGTGGCTCCCATGCACATGTGCGGGACCAACGCCATCGTGACCATTGAAACGGCCAGAGCACTGGGTGAAGATGTCAGTGGAGATAGTGCACTGCTGAAGGACTTTGTTTTAAAGTAAGTTTTTCATAATGTGCTAGTATGAATCACTTATGCTGTCAACTTGCAGGATGAAGTTTTTTTTCCCTCTATGCTGACTTTACTGCCACTTTAACCTCTTCCCATCCACCCACTGCCTATAGATGGTGGATGGGAAGCTGTGCCGATGGGGGCTAACACCTTTATGTTATCCCTCATCAGCGACTTGCAGAGCGCGCACTGCTGTGTCCGGGTGATCACATGGTGTTTCACCATGTTTGCTGTGACCAATCACAGTAACCACATCGTAAACACAAAGTGAAAGTAAAGATCAATTCTCTCCGCTCTCACTGGGAGAGCAGAGAGAAGCGATGCTGCAGCCTTTATATGTACAGCAGCCTGTCACAGTGCTTGTACACTCACAGACTGCTGTGCCAGCCACCCCAGTGTCCCTAATTACTACCCCAGTGTCCCTGTTCACTGCCCATTATAGTTAATAAATATGCAGCCAGCCCGTCACCTGTCCCAGTACTCGCAATAACGCGGTCATACACATACCAATATCCTGATCACCGCCACACCCCACCCTGATCACTACTACATGCCATGCCAGTGCTCTCATCACCATACCCATACTAGCATCCTGATCACTGCCATACACCATATCAGCATCCTGATCACCCTGTATGCCATACAACATCCTGATCACCACCATACCCCATGCCAGCCTTCTGATCACCGCCATACTCCATAATCGCATCCTGATCACCCCATATCAGCGCCCTGATCACCACTATACCAGCGTCCTGCTCACTGCCATACCAGCGTCCGGCATTTTAGGGTCTCAACTGATCAATTTTCAAATATATATCCCATAGGTTTGGGTTATTTTTACCCCAAAGTGTAGCATAATACATTTTGGCCTAAATTTATGAAGACATTATTTTTTGCAAAATTTTATAACAAAAAAAAAGAAAAATTATTATTTTTTTAATTTTGGGATTTTTTCATTTATATAGCAAAAATAAGAAACCCATTGGGGATCCAAAATAAAGCTCTATCTGTCTCAAAAAATGATAAAAATGTCACATGGGTACAGTGTTGCATGACTGAGCAATTGGCACTCAGAGTGTGAAAGTGCTGAAAGCTGAAAATTAGCCTGGCCTGGAAGGGGGTGAAAGTGTTTGGACTTGAAGTGGTTAAAGGCTAAGTTCACCTCTTGAAGAAAAAAAGCCTATACAATCAAGGGGCCCTAGTGAATATTAATAAAACTTTACAGCTCTGTAAAATGTTCATTAATTTTGTCATACCTATAGGCCATTTGGGCCACCTTGGAAGCCTGGCTGAAAGCCTCCCAGGTAGCAATACCCACACCTTGCCTTATTTCTAGGATGTGAAAAATGTGGACACGCACTCCCTCCATTACAGGAGGGAAAACCAATGGTCTTTGCATCTTAGCAACAAGGCAGGACTAGGTGTGTTTTAGACATATTTCCAGGAAGGCTCATATGGCCTACAGGTAGGGTTGCCACCTCATCCCTTTAATCCCAAACACATTAAGTACACAGGTTCTGAAGCTAATTTAATTTAGATAAGGCAATAAGTGAGTTTAATTACCACCTTAATCAGCCACAGAACCTGTATAATTAATATGTGTTCAGTTTTAAAGGGATGAGGTGACAACCCTACCTATAGGTATGACAATAAAATTGACTGAACATTTTGTAGAGCTGCACAGTTTTTTTTTAAATATCTTCTGACTGCATAGGCTATTTTCTGGAAAAGATGAACTTAGCCTTTATTGTTGATATGTGCCTCCTAGGGTTTCAGAGTTCCCACCATGGACATAGCATTCAGCCCAATGGAAAATATGTGGTACTGAGTTTCTTCACCATAGTGATTATCGTAATATGCAGGAAATAAGCTTTTAACCATTTTAATTATACACATATTAGATGTCGAGTGCTACTATAAGGACTGTCAAAGTTATTTGGTACTTTCAAAGGAAAGAACATAAGCAGACATTTGACATCAGATTTGCAGAAAAATATTCGGTTCTGGCTATAGAGATACAAATAGTCAAGAGTAGGAAGAGATGCACAGAACGTTAACACTGACGTAGCTTTAACAAAACTATATTTAAGGAGTAATTGAAAAAAACATCTTATGTAGGTGATCAGGATTTTATCCATGATTGTCTGCTATGTACAGTATGTCTATGGAGGTTTGCAATTACACAGATCTCTTAAAATGAGTATGCAGATACAGATTACTTTCCAGATAAGCATACTTATTCTGGACCACTGAATGTGTTAAAACTATGCAGGCACAAAAAAAATTAAACATCAAGTGAAATTAAAAAATATATCAGACATGCATGAGGGGTCTTTATTGTACTGTGTCAGCTGTATGCACTGATCAGGCTACAATGGATGTCTGTTATCACTCCCCATTATATTTCTGTACTGTTCTGTCTTTGTTCTAAGTACAACCTATGTCTTGGTTGCCCATATACTGTATTATTTCCTTATGCACTAGTTACCTTTCTAAGATTTTTTTTTATTATTTTCACCTCTTGATTCAGTCAGTAAGTCTGTTTTATTTCAGCTTTCAGACGAAGCTGTCCAGCAAAAGCAGCAGTTAGAAGGTTGAGACAAACCATATAAAACTGACAGGGGTATTTAAATGGGTTAGTTTTTATTCATTTATAAAACCTTTATCCCAAAACGAAAAAAAAAAAAAATGTTGCTATAACTGCTAAAAAAAAGTGTTAGCTGCAGTTTGGCTTTAGTTTTCTTGTCAAGTACATCTAAATCTGCTAGCACATAAAACGCTGCCCTCTCCCCAGACTGGCAATGCTGCTTCATCCAGAGTGGAGACACCCTAAGACAGGAATTGTGTTACTGGACAGATCACCATGTGAAAATTTAAAGAAAACATAAATAAATGAAAGCAAATGCAGCTGCCATATTTAAAGGGTAACACCACTTTTGTGGGGAAACAAATTGCAAATGGAAAAAATAATATAGCCTATACCATTTCTACACAAGCTATATTGTATTTGAATGTTATTAAAGATTATCTATACTTTTCAATCCGCAGTGCTTTTTTTCTGTAAAATTCAGTGCAATATGGCAACCTGTAGGCAACAGGGCGGTTGAACAAAAGTCGATTGGTAGATTGACTTGTGTTTAACCACAGTGGCCACACATAGATCGAAATTCGACAGGTTCCTGCTGAACCAGCCGAATTTTAATCCATGTATGGCCACCTACTCTTGAACCTACGAGCTACATTTTTTTACATTTATTTTAATGAGTACACAAAGGGACATATTTATAAAAGCAGTAAAATGTTAAATTCTCCTTTATATTCGCTGCAGGCAAATCTTCCTGGTTCATGTGTTTAAATGACAGTGATTTATTCGCCACCATAGGAATGTTACTGCAATATAAATACAGGGGTTGGACAAAAAAAATGGACACACTACATGATTTGCAAGTGTGAAAGTGAAGATATGTTTTGATTTGAAAGCTGAAGTGATGTAACACTCTTTTGTTTCCGCAGATGATGAAACACCTAGCTAGCAGCTGGGAAGTCTCACTTTTCTCATTCACTGCATGCGCTGCTAGTAATACGGAGTCATGTCAGAGCTTACTGAGCTTCTAAGAGGGTGAATTGTTGGTGCCCGCTTAGCTGGTGCCTCTGCGACTGAAGATGCCAATTTATTTGCCATGTCGTGAGTTACAGTATCAAAGGTTATGGCGGCATATACAGTTTTCGGGAAAACATGGTCTGATAAGCATAAGCAGTCTTCACAGGACTGAGATTGAGCTCAGCAGTTGCTTTTGCAGCAGTTTTTTTTTCTTATTTCGGGTCACAATCCTGTGCAATATCCATTTTGTTTCTTCCGGTCAGTTGACCAAGTCGAATGGGCTTATGATTATCAGATGATGTTTTCCTGGAAACAGTATATGCCATCATAACCTTTGATACTGTACCTTGCGACACGGCAAATAAATTGGCAACTTCAGTCACAGAGGCACCAGCTAAGCGGGCATCAACAATCTGCCCTCTTTGAAGCTCAGTAAGCTCTGACATGACTCCGTATTACTAGCAGCGCATGCCGTGAATGACGAAAGTGAGGCTTCCCACCTTTTAGCTAGGAGTCTCATCACACAGCAGAAGCAAAAGTATGTTACATCACTTCCACTTTCAACGCAAAACATGTCTTTACTTTCACACCTGCAAAATAGTGTTTCTATTTTTTTTGTCTAACCCCTGTATGTCCTCAATTGTTAGGGTGCAAGTCAGTGCATAGTATTAACTGTTAGAGGGTATTGATAGATTTCACATTGCAGGCATGGCTGTACACATTATTTATTAATGGTTTTGTCTGGCATTGAAAGCTTTAAGCTGAACTGTGGGTACCAAAATGAACACACCAGATGAACGGTGGATGTCTTAGTTTGCCTTGCTACAAACTTGCCTCCTTTCTTAAAGGATAACCTATTCTGAGGGAAATAAATGGACTGCCAGTACTGATCTCCTAGTCACCTGGTATTCATGCTGGATGAATTTCAAAGGGAAAGGCAATAATGGTAGCCTGCTTTTGTCAGCACAGTTTTCATTTTGCGGAAACCTTTCATGGTTGAAAAAAGGATGCTTCTATTGCTAAATTCTCAATCTGAAAATATAGTTTGCATGGCTGTTACTTTGATCCCCTTGCTTCAGTTTTTTAAGATTTGATCTTAGGGTGTCAGCATAACAGCCAAGCAACTAGCAATTTTATAGGGATGTCAGTATGGGCAGCCCCAAAAATTTCTTTTAGGAAAAGTTTACTTTGATAAACTGACAACCATAAATAAACCCTCTCAGCGTTGGGAAAGATCTTCCTTTCAGGACCGAGAAGCAGGATATTTGTTTTTACTGAGCTTTGCTATTTATCATCTCATAATGAGTCTTCATGCACACTTGAGGTTTTTACAGCTGCTGTTTCTTTTTTTTTTTCTACAGCCAGTAAACCCCTCAGCATGTTATCCTATGTGTCCATGCACACATAGACTGTAGTCAACGTTTTTTGTCTGGAAAAAAAAAAACAAGAACTAGTGGGTTTTAGAGTTTTTTAGTTGAAAAACACTCTAACGCAGAAAAATGTGGTAAAATGCCACAAACTGGCACTTTTGGATGTTTTTGGACCAAAAAAACTCAAATGCGGGAAAAAGCCGCTAATCACGGCAAAACAACACTGATGCAAAAATGCTAAAAAAAAGGCTGTAAAATGTAGGTTTTTAATGTGACTTTACACAGCTAACATTACCAGCGTTATCAAAACGCCCCTTGTGCATGGAGCATTATGACCCGTACCTCGATAAGAAAATCGTACGAAAATTTTTGCGGAACCACTAATCGAACGATTTTCTATTCGTTGATGAGCAGGATGTTTTAACCGATAATGATATTGTGAACGAAAACATCCAATTGAAGAAGAGTGATAAATTTTATAATTTCACATACAAACAACCAATTTTCTATGCGGTGGTATGACGGTCGTACGAAAAAAAATCTATCAAGCGCTATCACGCATGAGCGGAAACAAGATGACCCGGATATTTATGTTTCAGGAATTTTCGTAAACACGAACAAAAAATCTGAATGTTAAAAGTAGATCGGCCTAATGAGATAATGAAACCAGAATTAGCCATATTATATTTTATGTATCACTATTTATGTATATAGGTAATGTAATAAACTATTATACTGATTGCTATTAATTGTGTATATTGCTCGTTCTGGCCGGAAGGGCGTGGCTACAAGGTCACACGCACACTGCATCACTTCCACTTGTACAGAAGACGTCAACACTACGTATTGCCCGGCGAACAATTTTTTTAGATTGGTTAATGTGGGTCACGATTTCGACCAACGAACGCACGCCTCTCGATTATCGGATGGTCAATTTTCTAATCGTGTATTCCCACCTTTAGTGTAAAGAGACTTGCTTCATAGACTTGTCTACAACAAGGAGTCCAGTTTTTAGATTTAACATAGAAGCCTGTTTGAACTTATTATAATTGGATTGAAATTGGAACTTCTATATATTTAATTGGATCATATAAAGTAATGTTACAAAAGGGCTTAGTCAATGAGTAGGTATGAATATAAAAGCACATCTTGCAGAATGATATTCACAATACGTCCAGTGTAGCTAAAAAATAGTGTTGCATACTGTGTTGGTTTTGTTCCTATGAAAGGCTGCCGCAGTTAGAATATTTCTTTCTGCTAAGAGGTTTCCTGCTAGGTATCAGATCCTGAAGAAAGCCCCAGTCTATTATTTCTTGTTTGATTTCATCCTCACTCAAAAATTTGCCATTGGGCTTTCTACTCAGACACTGTAATATATTCTAGTCATTTTATGCAGAACATTTCAGAAGCCTTCTGTGCATTTCATTCTAAATTTATGATATGGCAGATAGGAAATGACAGTGGCTATGTTGGGCCCATCCTCCATCGACAAAACAGAAGCTTGGATTGTAAACATCCATTTTTAGAAAATAGACCATTGTATACTGCTAGGGAAAGGAAAATGATAGATGAATAAAGGAGTAGCTAATGTTCGATAAATATTGGGAATAGTGAGGTAGATTATTAAAATTGATGAAAAGACAACACATTAGAAAACATTGTCAACTGTACAAATAGAGAGGTGAACCTTCCCATTGGGAACTCACAGTGCAAATAAAACGGGATAAGGATCTCATCCTAACCCACTCCATTCAAAACCTAAAAAAAAAAAAGAAAAACATATTTTCTTTACATTATACACTTAAAGGAGAATTGTATCTGAGCACCGCAAACTGAAAATACTATTTAATTGATTTGTAATATTCAAAGAAATTCATCCATGTCTCCATGCTTTTATTTGTAAAAAAAAAAAAACAAAAAAAAAAAAAAAAAAAAAAAAAAAAAAAAAAAAAAAAAAAAAAAAAGAAAAAAAAAAAAAAAAAAAAAAAAAAGAAATACATTTTGAAAAACACCCCCTAGCATTTTTAGCTGTTGTCATCTTGAGTAAGGACAGATGATTAATGTAGCATTTACTTCCTGGAATCCATCTGCCCTTAGCTCAAGCATGCATGGTGTTCTTAGCTGGGAAATCCCCTACCCCCCGGATGAAAGAAATGCTCAAAGTACCCCTTGGATGAATGACATCTTTTTTCATCCAGGCCAGAAACCAGGAAGCAACTGAGGATATGTAAAAAAAAAGTTTAAAACAAATATACCTTTTAATCTATTTACAAACGCTAGCAGCTTAAGTATTAAAAATAGTTCATATCGATTGAGAGAGTTTTTGTTCTGCTTTAACCCATAGTTGATAACCATTGTTTCCCTCTTGTTCTTAAACATTTTCTAAGGGTTACCAAACCTATGGAATAAAACCTAGTG